TTCCCATTCATGGAAGGAAATGTTTTGTGTGCCGCCGAGTCCGATAAATATTCTTGGAGGATGCGACAATGCAATCCTTGCCATCTCCTTCATGGCAACTGCCGCTAAGAGAGAGTGAATGGAATCGAGGAGCAGGTCGGCCACGTATGTACGATGCTTTTGATATGGGTTTCATAGACAGTCATCGATAGAATCAAAAACGAATTTTTAAAGTTTGCCTTTTTAAAAGAAAAGGAATAAAGTTCTAAAAATAAATTTGGGCCTCGCCCATTTGTGTCATAAAAACATTTTCTTAAGCAGCGACATGGTGAGATCGTCGAGGCCAGAGCGCCTGCTTAATATAGTTGGACGTTTCTCTGACGTCGTCGCGAGCGCGAGATTTCGCAAGTCGCGTTCTTGGGATCGTTGCGACTGAGGGATTCTGTCCCGATCGGGACCGAATCGATGCGACTGAAGGATTCTGTCCCGATCGGGACCTAATCCATGCGACTGAAGGATTCTAGACATACGGAGGGAATCCCGGTTCGCTTCAAGGTTTATCCGCGTTGCTCTTGTCAGAGATATAAATTCCAGCGCAATTCCTCACGTCTGGATTCAATCAATAAATATTTTTCTTTCTTACGACCGAAACCTGATCGAATGCGACGGAGTCGCAAAGAAATTCGAATTCCGTCCTATCCCTTGCTTCAACGGGAGCGGCGCAGTTTCCTCCTTTTCCTTGCGGCTCGAGATTTACGTGATCTGCTTCGATGACGTCACGTGCGATGAAATTCGCGGTCGGGAATCGATTGGGAGGATGTGTCTCGTTTTCCGAGTTCACTGTCGCTTTTTCTTTCCTCTGTCGCAGTCTCGAGTTGCGACGACCAGAGAGCGACTTCCACTTCGGCAGTTGCCTGCGTTCGTGGGCGAATTTCCAAGGATATCAGGTAATTCACATCGCACATCGACGACTCTTCCATGGCCGAGCAGCGGACTCAACGAGACAAGCGTGTAACGTCCGCTGAGCTAAGAAAAGGAACTGAAGATGGCGCGCCCATAGGAGTAGAATAGGAAAAACGGCTGCATTTTGAAGCCATATTGGTAGGGACCAGGTTAAAGCGGGCCTGCGGTGCGCATCGACGGAGTGATGGAGCAGGTACAGCGGGAACATTGGAGCTTGGGGCTGACCTTGAAGGACTGACCTTGGGGATATGGAACGGAGTCGATGGCTAGCCCGTCTGACGCCACTTCGCCCACGTTAATGCCCTGTGGCGCTTCCCCTTTTCTCCCGCGGTTTTTATGAGGAAAGTGAAACTAGTCCCACGGTGCTCCACGGCATTCCGTTTCCCAATGTCGAGAAAGAAGCCGGTCTTAGTCCAAGACCACGCGAGGCAGACGCCTCCCACCCGAGCCATGCTCCCTGTTCGCTCTACGCCTCCCACCCGAGCCATGCTCCCTGCTCGCTCTACGCCATGGCCTCTCACCTTGTCGCGCGGATGGTCGATGAAGGACTGGGAGGATGCGGGGTTGGAGTGAGAGGAGGGGGGGAGGGGGAATCTTGCGCACGTGATGACGCCAGCGAGCCTTTCCATTATGAAATGGAGCGTTTTGGTGACGACTTTACTTCGCTGTTCAAGGCCAAGGCAGGTCGCACACACTCTTCCTCTTGCCTCTCACTGCCATAATATTAATACTATCTACGCGCGTTTTCGGAGCCAACCATCGTGCATACATTACTGACCGATTCCTTAATTTCATTCGCTCTCTCAGTAGCAGTTCCCCGGCAGCAAACCTACGTTGGGCCTATGCTGAATTCAACATTTGCGATGTGGGCCCAACGTTGGTTAGCAACGGTGGTCCCTCCCACAGTAGCACCCCGATATTAGATCAATATCGGCTACCAAGGAATATGCATCTTGGCTCAACATTGGAACCCACCTTTGACCATTATTACGTATATTAATATTAATATTTTCTCCAAATTCTTCATCCAGTGAGGATATTCCCACGAGAAGACATTTCTATTATCAGTACTAGTACGGCCTATACCAGTAAAACCCCTTGCCCATGCACCCGTCTGTCCCACGGATAGGCAGGAGACAGAACAATACAAAGGTTAACCTGCTGAGTGTACTAATTGTAGTACATTTCCACGAAGGTCCACTCCTTACTGTTCTACAGAGTATCTGCGATTTCAGTCCCTCGGGACGACGAAAGGGACGACGAAAGGCCCAAGGATATTTTCCACATTCCAATACTGTTACCGTAAATGGTTCTCGTAGGAAGTATGAGCTCGTTTATCGCCTGGGCTCCATGATTCTGTCTGGAATATGCGGATAACAAACGATAGAAAAGTCCGACTTCATTGATTGCTGTAACGAGACTAGCTAGAGGGCAGCTCTCTCTCAGGCCGACTTTTTCCCCATAGCCACGAGTCCCCTTCTCAGGGCTAAGTCCTCCGTGAGGGTCTTGCTCGCTGCCAGCCATCACGTCGGGAGGATCTCGCCTTGGTGGGCGAGGGGCAGGTGTCGGTCCGACACGTGACAGCGGGGCGCTGTGGTTTGTGTGGTGGACTTTATAAAAAAATAATAATAATAATTTAAAAAAAAAATTTTTTTTTTTTAGAGGGCGATCTTATGGGGTAAAAGTATTGGAAAATGGAAAAATCTGTGGGCTCATTCCTCCGTTTCCTCGTCCTGAGGACATGATGATGAGGAGATGATGAGCTGAATTTACAGGTACTCCGTAGAACAGTAAGATGTGGACCTTCCCCTGAAATGTACTACAATTAGTACTTTCGCGTGAAGATGAATCTCCATACTGTACAACGTCTCCTGCCTATCCAAGGGACAGACATGTGCATGGGCAGGGGGTTGTACTGGTACATGTAGTACTGGTACAGGTCGTACTGGTAATGCAAATAGAAATGCCGTCACCATGGAAATACCTCCACTGGATGAGGAATTTGGAGGAAATAATGCTAATATTGGCACAAGGGCCCGGTAGTAATCCCAATAATGGTCCAAGATGGTTGCCAAGATGTATATTCCTTGCCAGCCGATATTGATCCCCGATATTGATCCAATATCGGGGTGTTATTGGGGAGCAGCCAATGTTAGCTCGTCGGGGTTGTTATTGACCTGAAGTGCAAAAAATCACTGTCGCATTCTGTGGGAATGCTCAAAGGAATCAGCAGGCATAACATATTTCCTTCCACGAATTTCCAAAATGTCTAGACGGGAGAAATGAACGGCTGCAATCGCTTGGAAGGAAATCTGCCCCCAAGGATCTTCGGATTCGATCGAAAGGTTCCAGAGGAGAACGAGAACGAGAACAATGGGTTGGGATCATCGTGCCGGAAGACTGTGAATGCAAAATGTGAAATTATCTCAGGTGAGGCAAATGAGGGAGAATCATGGAAGATCTTCGAGGAAATTTGTCACTGTGGTTCTAAAGCCCGTCCATGAAGGTGTTTTCACTAATACTTAATTGTGAAATAAGTTATGTGATGCAAGGATTCGCATATCCATGGATTCGCTAATAGGATCTTCATATCTGCCAGAATTCTATTAGACTGAGACACCGGAACAGGGAAAATGCAGTTGGGATGAACCGGGATCGGTTGGAATTGAAGGGAATTGGGATTTAAGGTGACGGAAAATATATTTTCATGACTGCTCCGGTCCAATGCGAGATGGACCGGACCTGGAATTCACGAAACCAATCCCAAAAAAGAAAGAGATTTTCGGTGTAAAGGACAATTTCGCAAGTTTCGGATTTCGCGATGCCACTCTCTTATACTGTTTATTTCAGGGCGTCAGGGCAAGAATCGCCGAATCGGCGGTTCGGCGCCATCTCGCGTCGATTCGTTGAACCTATTTTCTGCCGATATCATGTGGATATCGTAGAAACAGCATTGAGAATGCTGTTTCTACACGATGAGAATGCGATGAAAATTGCGAATAGACATTGCATCGATTACATTCGATGCTGATTTTTCGTCGAATTCTCAACGTTTCAACCATTGACCGATCAATGTAAACCGCCGCTTCGTCCTCGGGTTATCTCGTGAACTCGGCACGAAAATGTCTCGCGCATTTAAAAAAAAAAACAAAAAAACAGGATATCCTGCCGCCGATACGAAGGTTGAAGTAGTCCTGAGCCTGGCATGATTTCGGCACGACATCCGGCAACACTGTAAGCTAAAATAAACGACTGCTAATTTTTTTTTATTTTTATGGCAAAATGGTGCATCGCAAACAATATGGGCATTTTTCGTCATCTACAAGTCAATATCAATTTTTCTATCAATATCAATAGTCAAACTTTTTCTCCAGGATGGAGGAAAAAAAAGGAATGAAATTGACATTTTCCAGATTTTCGAGATTCGGTGCTGAATTTTGCTGGGGTGATTCTGTGTCGAGAGAGGAAGAAACATGCCCGATGCTCGTTCCCGTTGATGGTCTCAGAGAGGAACGCGAGAGATTTGAATTTTGTTACGGGAAGGGTTGAAGAAAGGCAATAGGACCAAAGCCTATTGATCGTGCATGGCCGATGGACGCTCTGGGCAATACGAGAACGGCAGTGCCTCCGATGTCGTCCGCTTCCTCAGATGAAACGGTGGGGATATCGAGCGTTCAGTCGCAAGAAGCTGATGGCACAGTCAAGGCGCAAGTCGGAACTCACGAATTCCGAACATTGGTCCTCGAGTCGGGTTTAAATACACTCCGGCGACTTAAGAAAAAGGCTTGGGTGTTCCCCGGGCGAAGGGCGTCGCTGTCGATCCAGATACGGATGATAGTTGACAATGCATTTTATTTTTTTTTAATAAATGGTCACTTAGGTGTGGCGCCTTGGCGGCGGTGTCCTACGGTTTCCGTACCGTGGCGACGGGATGGACATGGACGGGATTCCAAGGCTTACATATCGTGGCGATAACATCGGAAAATGTTGGAGGGGTCGGGATGATTAATATGAGAACGGGATTCCGCGGTATGACGAAAAATACTGCTATGCCGATACGCCCTTTTGTGCACTGGAGTCCAATTTCTTTTTACCTCACTGTCCTTTACTAGTTTATTTTCGTGAGAGGAGAAGAAACGAGAAACTTTCTGGAATTCGATGCAACACCTGGACGCAGAAAAGTCAGGTCAATGAACGTAATGAAGGGCCAAGAAGCTAATCGGTGTGATCAGCCTTCAATTTGCTGCCCGTGGAGTCGTTGCTCGTCTTTGGTGTCGCTTTCGCATCGTGAAAGCCATTGGCGGAGACCATCTTCGCCCCCCTGTCCCTCTTGTGAGTCTTCTTGATGTAGGAGGAGACGAAGAACTGGACGAAGAGGAAGAAATAGGATGCATACATGATGTTGGCCCAGAAGAGATTCCGGTTCGGCACGTCGCAATTGTATCCCGCGACCTTCACGTACACGGCGTAGAGATTCACGAAGATCCCCATGAACATCTGGAGGATCTGGAGGACGGTGATGCCGAACGCCACCCGGCGAAGTCCCCTGTACCCGATCGCGATGAACGTGAAGTACGAGTACATGAAGGCATGAACCAGGTAGTTCATGTCGGCGAACCACCTCGCCGTCGACGTCCCGTCCCGGTACGAGTAGAACACGTACCTGCGCGGGTACAAAAAGGGGGAAATAAATTTTACATCCATCGAATCGATTCTCTTTCGCTCGACTTTCTGAAGAAGTGGATGCAAACGTCGAAAATTGATTCCACGAAGCCTTGCCGATCGAATAGGAAGCATGATGGCATTTACTTCTCATTCGTAAGGCGTCATTAGACACGAAAGTAAGCTGCAATGCAGGTTCCCCGAAATCTTCATACAAATTCGAAATGAGAAATGCTTTTTTGCATCCGTTGGCCTATTTAAAATCTGCCCTAAAGGTAATGCTACGTTGGTCCGTTTATTGCTATAGGTCGATAAAGAGATGAGATTATAACAAAATTTAATCGTTTTAATTAAGCGCTTGAAAGCAGCGAATTAGAGACTGAAAGAATGCCCCATTTAGGCAGATTATATGGAATCAAAATCGTCCGAAGCAGAGTGGAAATCACATAGAACAATCCGGTCCGAAGTGTCTGTTTGACGACTTTTCCCAAACAAAATCGCACTGGCTCACTAGCCTGATTTACATGCCGCGAATTTTCTATCCTTGGGGACTGCGCAATGATAAATTGGAGATGCGAATTCAGATGATCCAGCAGCTCTTCGAGCGATCACGTGAGACTCACAGGAGGACGGTGGTGTGATGATACCAGTGCAGATGGACGAGGTGGGACTTGCGAAGGACGAGGAAGGCCGTGTCGCCCAGTTCGAAGATCTTGGACACGAGGAAGAGCCACCCGTAGACGGACAGCGCCTCGTTCCAGTACTGACTGCCAAGTACCGAGTGAAACATTCCCTATTGCATTTTCTCTGTACGGAAGGGTCGAGTTAAGGGGAGGAAATTTTTTTCAATCGGCCCGGTGGCACAAGTCGTTTTCGTAAAGATTTGGTACGCATGCATATTAAAATCATTCGCGGTAGGAAACCAGCAACCTGGCTTTTATCGGGTCTTCATGCACCTCTATCGCATCGATTTTCTGCACTCTCCATTCTCGTCCATCCCGGACGATTTCCTCTATTTTTGGGAATGGGGGATCCTTTGAAGTCCGCAAAAAGGTTTCAAGAATGCGAGAGTGATTCTGAGTCACAACAGTCTCATTTTCATTCAGAATTCCGCATCTGGGTACTGATTTCAGTACTCAGTACCAATTTCAGTTTTCAGTAGGCAACTCCTTCCTCACTAACCACTTCTGATAACAGAAGAATGGACATTTGTTATAATTCTTCAACGTGACCTAACCTTGAAATTATAGATTTAGATCTTGAAATCGGGGATTCTGACCATGAAATCGGGGATGCCGACCTTCGACTTTACCTGACCCTTGCAGCAGCCAACAGCTGAAATAAAACGTTAATTTGCATGCAGTTTCGCTTCCCCGCACTTGAAAATTTTCCAACCTTAATTGTTGCTTCATGGTTTCATGAACATTTTTATGGGCAACCAATGAGACCGCTCCTGGAATGGTCGGGTATGCTCTTGTGGTTTATACAAGATGATACGGTATTATCATCAAATACAGTGTCTAATACAAGAATCACTGCCTTTTGCTATCACTTATAGATTTCTGTAAGAAATTAACACATAGAATGAATAATAATAATCCTTCTGGAAGGCTGTCACTTCGACGACACAGACACTCTCCAGTCAGGAACGACAAACGCGTTGAAGAGGGGATGGCGACTCCGCAAGAAAAGACACTGAGTGTTGTTGTTTTGCGGAGATGAAGTGAGTCACACAAGTGCAGCGCAAGTTCAGAACTGTTTGAAGGGATTGTCCGTGAGAGAAGAGCTCTGGTAGAAATGCCGATGTTGAGTTTGTACGGGAAGCCTTCGAGAGCCCAAGAAAATATGTGCGCCGGACCAGTAGGGAATTGCAGATGCCACCCGAGTTCTTCTTTTTCAGCACACTTCTTGTGTCCTTAAATTGCTGCATCCTTCGTTACGGACAGGAGGATCCTTGCTGTAAACAGCTGTGAACTTGCGCTGCACCTGTGTGACTCACTTCAATTCCGCAAACCACAAGACGCAATGCTTTCCCTTGTGGAGTCGCCATTTCACTTCCAACAAGCTATTAAAGTTGTCTGATTTTATCATGGACATTCTGTGTAACTACCAGCAGGATAAGAGATAAGCATTGAAGAAACTAAATCAGGCACATACGAGTATAAGCGATCGGATGAACAAGAATTCTTGCACCACCAAAAATGTCATCGCTTAAAGCGAGGAGCAAGAAGCTCTGTAAAATTCAGGCGACCCACATACGAAATTTAAAATAAATTTTCATGAATCTCGCACATTGTTTCGAAACGACTTGGCATTCAACCGCCATGAGAGTAGTCAAATGCCAATCGCCTCTGGTTTCCTCCGGCACGATGAAGTTGCTGCAGAGGATGATGGGATTTTTGTCCCATGTTGATATATCTTGGATATTTCTTAACTTTCCGAATTTAATTTTTCTTTTACTGCTGAACGTCAAAGCAACATGAATTGCTTGCGAGGCGGCCTATCCTAGCCGCAAGGATCCAGTGTCATCATTGCCTTGACAGGGGTTCATGACGGTTTTTTTTAACATTCTGCTCGAGGGAAGACAAGGGGTTCATAAATATCAAAACGATCGATAGAATATCGGAGACCGGTGCAATGAGGAAGGAAAATGTTACGTACGAGTTATCGCAGACCGAGTAATAAAAGCCTTTGAGACGCAGCGCTAGAGAAAGTTCCTGAAAGCCTTTGATCGTGCCAAGGATGGAGAACACCGCCAGGAACCCATTCCACGCGATCAACGGATACCGGAGGTTGAATCCCTGCCTGTTCTTCATCGCCCTCCTCCCCAGGAAGGTGAGCAGGACGTAGACGACGGCCAACACCTGCACGTACGGCCAGGCCTTCTTCGACCATTCCACCGACCACTCGTAGCTGAAATGCGTCTCCCACGGGAAGAACCAGATCGGCTCGACCCACATGGCGGGGTCCACTGCCGTCTCGTTCCTCATCAGTCCCACTGCAGGCAGATTCAGAACCTTGAATCGTGGCTGAGCAACAATTGGACGAATGAGCAAATGTCAAAATTCCATATTTTCTCTCTCGTTAGACGGCACGTGCACTCTTACCCTGAAAGCTACTCTGAATAGGAGTAAGAAAATCATCGATTTTGTTACCTCATTATTAGAGTAACTTTAAGAGTAACAAGCAAGAGTTACCAATGTTACCCGATTCGTTACTCCAAAAAGGATCCTGAAACTTCATTTTGAATTAGGTCTTGAAGCCTCAGAGTGCCAGATGAGTAACAGAAAAATTAGCCGTTCATATTTTTTTTAGTAAGAGTATATATGGCCGAAAAATCGGGAAGCCGGGAGAGGAACCAAGACACAAGATGCGAGGGAGGAAGAAGAAAGGAGAACAGGGTCAGCTTCAGCCCGCAAGCAAAAGCATCCCATACACAAACTGTCTGAGTCTGCGTCTGCTCGTTTTTACTTTTCTTCCCTACGAAACGAAAAGAGGGGATCCTCATTCTAAATAAATGCTCTCTCGCAGGGTCCAGTCCTTCATTTTACTTCACATGTACGGACGGGCAGATGAATGAAATACGGGTGATCCCCCCTGTTGCCCGTTAGCATTCGTGGGTGCCAGTAAAAGAGAGGGGAAATTCGAATCGGGAGAGTGGAATCGCGGACCAATTACAGGTAAGGTAAAAGGGCAAAAGTTATGCGTGCCACCTGGCGACTTCCGATCACACTCTGCAACCCCTCGATACCCATCCGCACAGCGGGCGATCACCCCCTCCCCCAGGCCCAGCCAATCACCTTCTGCCGCGCCTCCTGCTCTGTGGGGATGTCTTACCCCAGAAACCATGTCACCTCCATTGCTTTAGCCTCTCCATTTATCGGGGTCACCATTCCATTGCCAAGGGCGATATTCTTCAAGTTACTTCTACTATAAGTGAAGTTACCTCTATAAGCTTATGTAACCCCAACCTTGAGGTAACGTAAGGGTAACATCGTTAAGAGTGTGTGTACTGAAAGCGCAGACAACTCAGGACAATTCCGGGATGAGCACGATTACCTTCTGCGACAAAGTTCGTGCATGAAAAAAGAAAATTCATTAAAAAAAAATCATTTTTGAAGAGCTGATGTCCCACGGTAAGGCGCGTCTACGATCAGAGCCTCGGCTTCGTTTATCAATATTTTGATCGAGTGACACATCTGGACGGGCAGGTGCGTCCACTAATTTGCTCGAATAGCATTTGGAGTGCAATGACAGCATAATAAGCAATGGTGAGTAACGATGATATAATTAGATGAGGTCGTCCGTACTCAAAGAACATTTTCAGCCTCGATTCAATTTGACCCTGAGCAATGCTTAAGGCATGATAACCCCCGAGTGAGCCGCAGCGGCCAGCGAGGACTCCAGAAGAACAAGCCAGCGCCATACTCGGAAATTACGTTCGAACTGGAATGAAAATTCGGACTGGCAGAAGAATTTGGAAGGTTCGGCCGTCGGAGAGGAAATAACCGTATATGAAGAATTCCAATTTCGTTAGCTTTTCTTCACTTGAGTCAAGGTCAAGAACACCCAAGGACAACTGTGGAAAGCAGAGTGACTAATTAATAAATATCGAATAAATTTCCAATCGGGAATAAATTACAAATCTCGCAATTCACGCGAGTGTGAAAATTAATTTTTGTTCAAGGATGATGATAGTTATGGGTAATTATGCATATCATATTTAACGAGGAATGAAAATGATCGCCTGAGCATACATTTTTTTAAATTATTATTTCAATGAAAATGGGAGCTAATGGTCCGGCAGTTAATTACCCTCACTTTTCTCGGCATCTTTTCCTGCAAGGTCTTAATGAAATCACAATGGCTGAGCCGAATCTTTTAAGACAGGCGTGCAAAAAAATCGGAATTCCGATTTTTTGAAACTTTTTGAAACTTTTTGAAACTTATCGGAATAAGTTTGAAAGTTTTTACGTGGAACGGTGCCGGAGGTGGGAGATTATGAATAAACACGCCAAATTTCGTGACCTTTGATTGAACTTCATATGGCCTTTGAATCCTGAAAAGTAGCTCCCAGGTCCTTATTTGAGGATTTCAATTAAAATATATTACAATTTGATTAGGAGGAGGGTGAATTTCCGCTTTTGATGCCAAAAATTCTCCTCAAGTATCCTCGTCCAGGGCCAAGCGCTTGTTTATGGCCTGATGCCTATTGGTGGGTCAATTGGTGGTTGGCCTGGGCCTGGTGGTCTCTTGTCCTTCACTTTTTCATTTATTTATTTACATATCCTTAATTAGTTTTTTTTTTTCAATTTCAAGTTGAAGAGATTAATTGGGGAGCTCTAACTGGCCTTCAGCAACCAACAGTTCTATAACGTCAGCTTTCCCGATTTCAAATCGTCAATTTTTCGTCCCTTACTATCTCAGCTTTTTCCCTTATCTCCTCCTTGTATTCTTTCACGCAGAGTGAAGAGCGACGAAAACTTCAAATTATCCTCCTTGAGTGCAAACTACGTCCTTTAAATATTTATTTTAAAAAACACTGATTATCAGCTCGGGTAGAACTTGCTATTAGACTGGCCAATACACCTCTGGAATTCTCTCTCCACCGCATCCTAACCCTTCGGCTTAAAAATAAAACTAAAAGAAATAAATAAATCAAAGCTGTCACTCGTATGTTGCAGGCCTACGTGAAGAGTTCCGGAAAACTCGAGAAAAATTCTCTCACGCCCGCAACAAGCCTATATAGGGGAGTGCAACTAGTAGGATGCTAGATACGGTATTTCCTCGAGTACGCGGAGCAACCCTGTCTTCGCTGCCGCGAGCAGCCGCGCTCTCCCCTTGGATGCTATGGATCTGTCGTCCGCGAAGGCGGGAAGGGGACTGGAGGTTTTTAGCCGTTGACTGGCGCCGCGACGGAGCCTGGAGATTGCGCATGTGCACTGAGTTCTTTTGTCCGGTTGGTATGGAGACTGTCGACTGAAGGATGTAGTAAAGAGAAGAGGACGATCGATCACCGTATGCTCCATTTCCCCTGAGAGCATACCGGAATGACAGGGGAAAATGCCAAGGCAAGAGGTCGAAGTCGAAATGAGGGAGATGAAAAGAGGAAAAGCCAAGACAAGGGAGAAGAGGGGAAAAACAATGAAATGCGAATATTTGAACCAGTTTGAAAATTTATGAGACGCGAAATGCGAAAGAACTCATACTCAAGGCCAAACTGGCCTGCCCGAGCTCGATTTCGAAAAAAGTTGAAAAATTAAACAGAAAAAAAATATCCGCAGAGGGAAATGCCTCATGGTCGTCTACTGCAGAGTCCATTTTGTTTTCAATGAAGATGTCGATGACGGAAGTCGTTGGCATACGATGGGTGCGTTTTGCCTGCCTAGCTTAAGATTGTATTTGGAGAGAAAATTAGCGACTGACGAAGTGAAAAAAAAGCGGAGAAACTTTCGAAAAACATTTCATTTTCTGAAACGAAATTTCCAACTGCCTCCATACGACTTAGCAATCGATTAGTAATAATGAGTTAGCGGGGAAAAATATTCCTGGAGGCTCCTCATAAGGATTTCTCCATCGACAAGCGGATTGCATAAGTGGACATAGCAGACATGCATTTTGCAGAGAAAGGGAGGTGGGTGGGGGAGGGAAGGGGGTGGGGAGTCTCCGCTCTTGAAAAGTCTTAGGAAGATGCGGAGAATCCGTGTGTTGAAGTCTCTCGGAGGTCTGTGCAAGTGCGCACTGTGCTAGGCGCAGTGGCGCGGGAAGGAGAACACGAGAAAGGCAAGGGAATGGAAACGAATACGTGGAGGAAACTGTCAGGGGGCTTGTCAGATGAGATAAGAGTGGGGGGGAAAAAAATTGAGCGATATATAAATTTAAAAAATCCAGTTTCGCACAATACAAGATCTGCTCTGAGAATTTTGGAGAAAATTTTGCAAAAACGCGTCGTAAGTGTCCTTCCAGTTATTTGCATACGTGAAACAAAATAGTGAAATTAACAAAAAGTTCTAAATTTCACCAGGCAATCGACGATCGATGTCTATAGAAAACTTTTAATGGTTGGTGCGGTGTCGACAACCTTGGACTTTTAAATGCCTCGGCCCTCAGCTGGATCTCGCAATATGCATTGACAAGTCTCAAAAAGTCCCTGGAAAAGGATTTGCGAAAGTGGCCCGACTACGAATTGAGACGCCGTTTCCCACTACCAAATCGAGTCCACAAAAAGGAATTCCCTCGACGGGCTTGATCGAGCCTAATTGCCTCATGCCCTTCACCGGTTCTAAATTATGAAGAGAAATGCATAAAAAATGGATAATTAAATAACTAATACGTGTCGAAAGTTCAATAAAAATTTCACGCGAAGATTCATGGAGTGTACACAGCGGCCTAATTCATTATTCGTAAGACAAATTGGAGGGAATCCTTGCGAATCAGATTTCCGAGCGAGGCGAATTCGATGAAGGATTTTCGTGGGCTTCATGTTGGCTCATCGTGGGCTTCATGTTGGCTCATCATGGGCTTCATGTTGGCTCATGTCATTGGGGGCATTAGAATGTGTGAGAGGTTTATCAGGGATTGGTGTGGGTGGTTTCCGACCGAGGAGTTTTTCTGGCTTTTGGTGGATTTTCGAATGGGAGGCTAGATTCGCGGGAGCACTCTGGGCTTGGGGATCGTTCAGAGTTCGTCGCTTTTATGAATGGTCGCGTTTCGAGGCAGCTTCGTCCCGAAATCAAGCACGAGCGATTCGATGAAGTATCGGGTTAGGGAATCGTTAGAGAATCGAGGCAATCACTCACTGATTGTTCGGAGATGCCGAGGAAAAAATAATCGAGGAAAGGTCAGGAGTTCATGAGGAAATATTCGCCGGTGCGAGAGAAGAAGCGGAGGAGATCCGAACACGGCGGCGTCTGGAGTGAAATTGACGGAACATGCAAGGACTTCCCATTTCCTTTCCACTTTCTCCTCCCGTCCTCCATTCCCCATTCCCTCCCATTCCCCATTCCCTTCCATTCTCCACTTCCTTTCTTTCTTCTCCCCCCGCAGTCCTTCATCGACCATCCGCGCGACAGGGTGAGAGGCAATGGCGTAGAGCGAACAGGGAGCATGGCTCGGGTGGGAGGCGTCTGCCTCGCGTGCTATCGGCCAAGCACCGGCTTC